ACCCAGGGCACTCGTCAAAAAGGTGGCAGGCCTTGAGACCTACGTAGAAAAGAAGCCAGTGGGACAGACTCAGGAAAGCGGAATGATTTTTAAAATCCATCAATTCCCGGATGAAGGCAGGATAGCTTTAGTGGTGTGGAGATAATCACCCCTTTGAAAAATCCTCCCTGGCTTCCCACTGACCACAGGATAAAGTGTAAAATCTAAAACCTTTAACATGATTCACATAGCTCTTCATTGTCTGGCTCCAAATCAACTTTCTTTTGTTTTGCTTTATATCTCTTCCTTTAACACACCCTAACTTTATTTAAGCACCTCAAATGTGCTCTTCCTTTGGGGCCTCTCTAAAGGCCCTCCCTTGTGACTGGAACATCCTCTCCTATTCCCTGAAGCCAACTTCTACGCTTTCAGTTCAAAGCTTAGATGATAGTTTCTAGAGAAAGGAAGACTTTTGTTACCCTCCCTCTAAGGTGGTCTTCCTTGCCCCATGCTAACATAGGTCTCCACGCTTCTCTGTGATGAAACAGCTATCTTTGTTGGATGCTTCTATTACTGAACTAAGTTCCCTGAGGGTGGAGACTTTACCTGCCTTTTTCATTTATGTATGAACAAATGCCACACAAACCCTATTTAAACTCTTCTTCCTTTAAAAATCACATAAGAGGGACTTTCCTAGTAGTCCAGTGGTTAAGACTTTGACTTCCAGTGCAGGGGGTGGGAGCTCCATCCCCAGTTTGAGGAGCTAGATTCTACAGGCCTCATGGCCAACCCCTCCCATCACCCCCAACACAGAAATGATATTGTAACAAATTCAAAAGACTTGAAAATGGTCCACATTAAAAAAAAAAAGCTTTAAATAAAAAAATCACATAAGAACCAATGAGATTAAATTTCCATAAAATTTCTCATAATAATTCGTCTTTGAAGATCATTACATACTTTTGAAAACAGAATCCCATCATCTTCCAGTCTCAAAAGGCAAGAGAACCAAATGCAATAGCAAGTATCTTTTCAACACCCAGGAAATATTTGGAAAGCACTTCTCTTTCCTTATCACATTTTGGCTCTCAGTGAATTTTACTTGCCATAAGATTTTAGGATTCCAACATGTCACCAGCATAATTTCTACCACAGGAGATGTTAAAAAGTGTATTTTTCATCACTTAATATCAAATTGTCACTATGAGTCACGCAATGAACTGGCTGAATCACCTCTAATGGCATGAAATATTTGGTGAGTAGGGACTCAGCAACATCTCCATTCACAAAACCAAACTGGAGCCAACAGTTCTGATCCTGACCATGAATGGTCCAGTTTGGTGGCTCAGAGTGATGTGTCAGCCTCCTTCCTGATCACGAATTAAGAAGTTGGCTGGCTAAACAATAATCTAAACATTTCCAGGCATGGATAGAAAAAAAATCGCCTTTTGCATTCAATTTCTTTCAATCCGTGTTGTAATTCTGGGAAGTCCTGCCACCTACTTTCAATGTTCTAGAGATAAACATGAAGAAATGAGCTGCAAAACAGGTCATTATCATGACTGTGCTCAGTGTGAAATCAGACCCAAGCAGGCTTGCAGGGATGAATTACCATCTTACTAAAGGAGCAGGAATCAACCCTGCAGGGATGGAATATGGGGGGAGGAGATTAACATTAGCATAGGGGGAAGTACAAGAAAATCAATATGGGGCTGCCCAGGGCATACATTAGGATTCTGTCTTGTTTAAAGTCTGGCGGGAAACCTGACAAACCACAGCAAGTCAGGAAAGTATTGAAATGTCTTAATTTTTGTTTCTGTGCTAGAAAAATATGGAAGCAATATGGTAAGGGGTTCTGTTAAGAGGTGGAGAGGGGAAAATTGAAAATACCACTGAGCATATGCAATGCAGAGAAGGTTCCAGGTAAGTGGAACAGCTGTAACTGATCAGAGAGCCATGGAATCTGCCCGCCCTGTGAGCAGAAGTTGCTGAGATGCCTGCAAAGACTTCCTCCATTAGTGAGACTGCAGGCTCTTATGGAGGTCCTTTACAATCACACCCTTGTGAGGGTAGGCTCCCCAGATTGGGCTGAATTCAACAGGTACCAAAGCTTTTTCCAGGATACCATATAGAATGCCCAACTACCATCTCTGTGCCAAGCCAGCCCACAAGAATTTGAAGTGAACTTGACAAGTAAGGACCTTTGGGGAAAGCCAGCAAGTCATCAGTAAGCAGAAACCAAAAAAACCTCCCCTGAAAGTCTTCTTTGCCTCACTCACTCACTCAGTTGCCTATTACCCTGTAACATGAAGGAATTAAACAACGTATCAGGAGAGAGAGTCACCATGTATCCCTCTTCCTGCTCCCTCCCCTTTCCTTCCTGAACAATTCAGTTCAAAAGCCATTACTTGGGGCTGACAGAGACAGGTTTCTGCAAGGAGTGGGGGAGGAGCCACAGTGGAGCCAGAGCAAGGCGGGCAGGGAGACGGGTGACCCAATATAGGGTGCTGGAGGCCAAGATGGGTGAGGGACGTGCAGGGGACAGCAGTGGCTACCTAAAAAGTGACTTTGGAGTCGATGTTTGGTGAGGAAAACTGTAGATTGGTTCCACAGGGGGAAACTGATCAAATAATAAATATATGAAGGCTAATAGGAACCAGGTATCTTGTTGTCAAGGAGAAGATTACAAATCTGCAAAGAAAGAAAATGGTATTAGATTAAAACTAAAGGTATCAGGGTGAGGTCATGGTTTTCAGTAGGTAGATAGATAGGTAAGATAGGTAGGTAGGTAGGTAGGTAGATTAACTGATAGATCAACAGATAGAATTCTGACCATTGAGAGTGCCTGGGAGCAGTGCCTATTCCAATAGCAGTGAGCACACCAAGCACCCAGATCTTGGTTTCTAAATACCACTAAAAATAACACCATTCTAAATACCACCATTCTCCACTAACAAGAACTAGTGCTCTCTATTGAAAAGGGCTGATTTCAGGGTTAGGAAACTTTAAGATGAGACTGGTACATTTTGCAGCACCAGAAAGTAAAGATTTGCCCAAAGAATAATGGAGACATGTCAAAAGGACACTGAAGTTAGCTTGAAAGGGCCCCTGTGATCTATATTTGAACAATCAAGGATAAAAATAATAACAGAAATGGATTAAAACCTACTAAATATAAGAGGAATCCACAAGACTATCTATTATGGAGAGGGATGAAAATTACATACATAGCACCAAAGCATTTCCCCACAGAATACTTGTTCATCACAAAAAGAAAAAGTAACTTTACTGTATAGAAGGCTGGCAAACACTCCCTCAAATCAAGCCATCAAAATTAGTATTAAGCAAAAACAGTTAACATCTGTCCCTACAATGGAACAAACTGACACAATGTACTACCTGATTGAATTCTGTGAGAAGAATAACCATCAGCTCTGTGGTATTCCTACCAAAGATGCATAACCCGAACATAATCATGAGAAAATATCTGACAAACCCAAACTGAGGGACATTCTATAAAAATGGGGGTGATCAAGTATCATTTTGGCAACTTACTTGTAAATATTTCTGAATAAAAACGATATTGGTACTTCATTAGGGGACTTTTCTTTAGCTTTGAGATTGTTTCAAAATTTAAAGGTTAACATGGAAAGAGTTAACTTGTGTCATTATAGATTTGATCTTGATTAAGGAATCAAGATGGGATTAAGGTCTGGAAGAAGAAGAAAAGGAGAAAGACAGCGCTAAGTCGTGTCCGACTCTTATGACCCTATGGACTGTAGCCTGCCAGCCTCCTCTGTCCTTGGGATTTTCCAAGCAAGAACACTGAAGTGGGTTGCCATTTCCTTCTCCAGGGGATTTTCCCAACCCAGACATCGAACCCAGGTCTCAAGCAGTGCAGGCAGATTCTTTACTGACTGAGCTACGCGGGAAGCCCAAGGTCTGGATAGACCAAGCTAAATACACTAACTATATAGTAAGGCAGCACTTCTGAAATTCTCTCCAGTGAAGGAATAGTTATTCTGCCCAGTCCATTATGGATCAATACTTTCTAAAAAATACAAAATCCTGCACTTGGATTTGAAGATAATGTCAAATTGCTCCAAGAGTTTTCAAACTCTTTACCAATGTCTGGACTGATCTTATCATGGACCAAGAATAGCCATAAATGAGCTCAGACCACACTTTGAGCAGCCCTTCTCTGTGGCAGGATGTGCAGTTCCCCAAGTAATATCATATCCAAATGGGAAATAAAAATTACTGGTCACACTGTTATCTATAACGGTAGCAACAATAGTAATCACTGAAATTAACATCAACCATCTGTACAAAATATTCAAGATAGGGAACTGTCCAAGCAATGGGAGGAGAATAGAGGCTTGTCTTTTACACAGAGAACTCAACTTCTCCAAAAGGGTCACAGAACACAAATAGATGTGATGACCTTGATTCCTAAGTAATTGCTTTATGGTGATTTAAAGACAGACAAATCCCATTATACAGAAAATGGACAGAAACATATTCTATGGGTCAATCTGCAATACCAACCCATAACTGTCATTGCTGGGAAGAGACTCAGCATCCAGAAGGGGCTAGGAGAAGACATTCCCAAACCAGACAGGCTTGATTTAACTGCAGATACCGAGGGTCAAGTTACTGATATCAACACAGTCCACACAACGGCCGACTCTAGGTCAGCACCACGTATAGCCTAGCTCAACCAAGAGAGAACAATAAACAGAGAACAATTCTCCATATTACACGAAGACCAGAGCAGAAGGACAAGAAAGAAGCCATTACACCCTCTGGGAAATGGTGAACACCATCCAGGCTCAAGATTCTTACAGAAGACGCTCTGACATCCCCACTGTGTGTCTCTGAACACTGGAATCCCTGAACCAGTGTCTCCCTGACACTGAGCTAGCCACGCATAGAGGTGGCTCCACACAGAACGCTGTTAGCTGGAATCAACAACACCGATTTCTGCAGCATGTGTCTCTGGTCTGCGACACTTCACTTACCTGGAGCTGTCTTGTAGCATGACGTTCGGGAGGGCAGTGATAGGGCGTTCTTTGCCTTGGGGCTCTGGGTACTCTGCAAGACTTGTCTCTGCCGCTTCAGCTCCTCTTCCCTTTCCTGGGCTGCTCGGATTTCTTCTTCAATCATGGACAAAGTCCGCTGCTTCCTGGACCTCAGCTTGAAGGGCCCAACCATTACATCGGACTCTTGAGTGGCCAGGAGCGAGGCTGTGCTTCTTAACTCAGCCGCTTCTGAGTACTTGCTGAAGTAGCTCCCTTCCGGTCTGGTCTCCTCCATGTTTATTGGGCCACTGGGCTGTACCGCCGGCAGTGGCTGGGAGGGCCCCCTTTCCCTGAGTGCCCTGTCTTCAGTAGACAGAATCTTTGGCAATACATCCCTTTTCTCTTGAACAGGGGAGGACACCTGAGGTGGTTCAAACATGCTCTGAGGCTTCTCTGAGCTGGGAGCACTCGGGCCAGCTTTCTCTTGACTTGCTTGAGGTCCCTGTTGCTCTGCTCCGCCCTTGGTGGTTTCAGACCCAGCTCTGTCCACTTGCTCGGCGATGGCTTGTTGAATGGCATTCTGCACCAGGAGGCCAGCCTGATATTCCAAGGGGTCATCAACTGACGGAGAGTCTCCCAGTGTGGACAAAGGGGAATAGAAACCCTGATCACTGAATGACTTGGAGACCCCTTCTCCTCGGCCCTCTGAGGGGTTGTCAGTCTGGGGAGTCTGGGGCAGAGAAAAATCGGCCAGTGAATTCTCCTGCAGGGCATTGGTTGTCTCATTGGAGGCCCCACTGTCACTGATGTTGTCCATACTGAAGTCATTGGACAGGGTCTCCAGGACGGTGGTATCCTGGGATCTCACCGACAGCTCGTCCAAACCAGAGTCCAGCTCCTCTTGAGTCAAAGAGACATTGACTGACCTTGAAAACTGATCCAAGATCCCAGGGTCGTCGTCCTTGACCACGGTGAGGACGGCCCGAGCACTTGTGAACTCACTATCCTCTGCCCACAGTTTGGATAAGGGCCCGCGTTTGGAGGGCTCACTGTATGGCCCTTCCTTTCCCTCGGGAGCTGTGCTGCCCTGGCCCCCTCCTCCAGAAGACTGACTCTCTGGGGCACAGTGGGCTTTCTGCCCCTTGGCTGCTGAGGAGTCTTCCAGAGGTGCCCCGACAGAAGCTGGTCTGGAGATGGTCAGTGTCTTATCTGAGTTGATGGACCCCAGAGGTTTGTAGAAGGGCTTGATGGAGAAGAGCCTGGGTGTACTCTGGCCCCTGGCCACTGTCTGCCTGGAATTCTCCATCTGCTGGAACTGTTTGCGCGCCGCAGAGAAGTCTATCTGCTCCGTGACGATGTCCTCCTTCGGGTGGTCAGTCACACCGGGACGGTCCCGTGAGGAGGCGGGGGCCGCGCAGAGCTGCGGTGGGGGCTGCTGCTGCTGCTGCTGCATCAGCAGTTGCTCCTGCTGCGCCCGCCTCTCCTTGCGCTCCTTGTACTTTTTGTGCGACTCCAGATGTTCCTCATCCAGTTGCTCCTCGATGGTCTTCTCCTGAGGAGGGTTCCACCATTTCGCGGCAATGCCGGGGTTCTTCTTCACGGCCTGACTCCGGATGAGTTCCCGCCTCTCCTTTTCCAGCTCCATCATCTCTTCCGAAGGCCTCACTTTCCTGACACGGTACTGTTCTTTCTCACTCTCGTCGTCCTCGAAGAGCTTGGAGGGCTTCTTGTCCTCATGGAAGGCACGCAGCTCGAACTTGGCTTCCTTCTTGAGCGTGGTGAGCGTCATCTCCCCGTCCCGGGAGGAGCACCGCGAGCTGGTGGAGGAGCTGGGGCTCACGGGCACCTGCAGGCTGTCCCCCAGTACATCTCGGGGCTGCTCAGGGGGGTGGCCGTTGGCTCTTCTGCCCTCGGCCATGGTGTCAGAGTCGCTTTGATGGAGCTCAAGGTGAGGAGGAGCCTGTCTGCCAGCTGCCCTCTCGGTGACTTCCGGCTGGACAGCCGCGGGGACGGGCGGGCTTGGGCTTCCTGCCAAGATGGCTGCTCCAGGCTCCGGGGAGGATGTGCCGTTGTAGGTTCCGTCCACAGCAGAATCACAGCAGTTGGCCTCCAGCACCTCGTCTAGATATCGGATCTCTCTGGCCACGTCATTATCCAGAGATTCGTGGTGATCAGCAAGGAGGCCATTGTGGGGGGTTGAGTAGAAAGGGGAGGGGTGGTCCATGGAATGTGGAGTTGAGGTGATTCCGGGAACACTCTTACATTCTGCAACAGAGACCTCAATTTCCATGTTTTTGTGATCTGAGGGAAGAGAGCTGGTAATAGACTCCAGGGCTTTGGCACTACAGTTGTCTCTCTCGTGTTTTAGCCGGGTATCATCCTCAGAAAGCTCGGGAGGCTTCTGGAATAAAGAGAAAACAGAAATCAGGGTTAGCGACCTCATTGCTTATGGATGTGAACCTGAGACATGAGCTGATAATAAACTGGAAGGAAAAGGGAACAACACTGGCAGAATCTTTTGAATAGAGGTTTCTCTTCTAAAAAGACCTTCATATATTCATTATGTTACAGTAACAAGTACCTAAACTTTCTTAATTTTACAGATTCCATTTTGCTTACCTGGTGTCCAGAAATTTTTCATTAAATGCTAGTTCCATTTTTACATTTAAAAGTAAATTGGGATTTGGATCATCTGATGACATTGCTCAAATAATTTCTGAAGTGGAAGAGATTAAGTATCAATTGTACGAGAACTTTTCAAAATATTTCATGGCAGATTTCTGAAGAAATGTTAATAGAACTATTTGTAACGTCCCCAACTATAAAAAAGAAGGCCCTTTTGCAGGAACCAATCTTGAAAACATGATTCTCTGCCAGATGTAATGCAATTATTCTGTAGACAGGAAACTTTGAGGAAACTTTTTCCAAAATAAAATACTGGAAAACAGTAAATCTCTTCAGTGGCCCCTTGAGAGTTACAGTATCCCACTGCATGGCTGTAATTGACCATGTGCATCATAAACACAGGACCAAAGCCACTTACTCCGAGTTCTGTTCCCTGGAACAACATCAAAACAATGCTCCTTAGTTAAGGAGTGAATGTTGCTTTGAAAAGCTAGACAACAGCACCTCCCATCTAGTTCCTAAAATGCTTTATATGTGACAGCTCCAATTTTGTGGTTAAATAAGAAAACTGTATCTTTTTTACTGTTTTTAAATGCATCATATTTTTCATTAGTTATCTACTGCATGTCAGTTTATTTGGCATTAGTTAAGATTAATTTTCAAACTCTAGGATGATTTTTTTTTCATACCAAAGGTCTCTGGTTTATCTCAGAAAATTCAGCGGTAAGTTGTGAGCTTAATTTGGGTTCCCCTCAAGTATTTCACTAATACTTTTGTCAGCTCTGTTTCATGTCTTAGGTCTAGAGGGTACCTAGTATTACTGATGTAATACAGTGCAAATTGCAGTGTTGTAGAATTTTCCTTTATTTAAACATTATTAAAGACTTAGAACATACTATTAAAACACCACCTAGGATAATCCTCAGGGGATTAATTTCAAAATTCTTTCAAGAAAAGTCAATGATTATGGATCTGTTCATAATATCTAGAAAAACATGGAAGTTCATGCTATGTGCTCTGCCTTGCTGTCAGAATATTGAGAAACTCTCATGGTCCATCATGAACTGGAAGGTTATCCATGAACTGAGGAGGGCTTCCTTCACTGTTTCCCACCTTCTTCTTTACACTTAATCAATCAAGTTGTATATATTCCTTCATCAATAATAGATAATAATAATAAATATTCCTTCTTTGTCAAAATCTTCTGGTCTCAAAGGACCTTCCAGTCTTGATCTGGTCTTTGTCAAAGTCTGATACTTAAGATTTATAATCTCTACAATCTTTAATTTTATTTGGGACCACCATTAACTAGTGGCTCTTTTATCTTAGCCTGTGCGCTCACTCAGTCTTGTCTGACTCTTTGTGACCCCATGGACTGTAGGCTTTCAGGTTCCTCTGTCCATGGGATTCTCCAAGACAAGAATACTGGAGGGGGTTGCCATTTTCTCCTAGAAGAGATCTTCCCGACCCAGGGATCAAACCTGTATCTCCTGTGTCTCCTGCATTAGCAGGCAGATTCTTTACCACTGAGCCACCCTTTAGAATGAACTAAAAAGATATGACAAAGACAACTGCTGCTGTCCTTTAAATAACATTAATTAAACATTCTTCTGTTAAAGTGATTATCAGTAACTTCTACGTCATTTAAGAATTACAGGAAATTTGAATGCGTGAAACTTATTGGCTGCCATTCAAATGTCAAGAAAACCTAGGTCAAAATTAGCCTACTCCATGGAAGCTGAGCAACAAAAAGAGACACAGTACTGCTATGGTGAAAATCAGACTGCCCATGATGCTCCCACCTGCGGCTTCATTTGGCCAATGATTCACTGCTAATATATTCATGGGAGTAAGTAGAGCTTTCCTTCTATCTCTTTGGCTTTGGGGAGGGAAAATAGGTAGGAAAATGGCAGGAAGCTGCTGGGACTGAAATATGGTGAAAAATATTGCTCTACTAAAACAGAAAACACTTTGCAATAGTTGACATGACAAGAGAAAGGGCACTGTGACATTGAAAGAAGTAGAAAGGCATATAATTAATTCTGTAGTTCAGTTAGTCATGGATTCATTCATTTAAAATGCAGGAGGCTTATTTTGTAGGGCCATAATGAAATCAGTAGCAACAATAAGTTCCAGGAGACAACACCCTTTTCTTAACAAAAACTGGATTTCCCATACTTCCTACGAAGTCATAAACCTATTTTGGGGTTTATGACTGGTCAGGTGAAGTGAAACACTTGCCTATATTAACCTCTTGTTGCTGATCACAGAGATTGGAGTAACTGAGCCTGTCTCCCCAGCATCCCCAGGAACACTTTGTCAGCATCATCCCCTTCTCCTGAATGCTTCATGGTTGGATAATGAAGGAGCAGATGCCCTACAGCTTTTTTTTTTTTAAAGAACTTTAAAAACTCTATCCTTTTTCCAAGGATATATTCTGAACTAGCAACAACTGTCCCAATTCAAAAGTTTAAATATCTTGAGAACATCATTTGACAGTATATTTTTGCAATATCAAAAACAAAACAAAACAATTTTAGCCTTGAGTTGGAAATAATGAGTCTCACCAATTATGTCTGAGATGTGTCAGACATTTTTAAAATGCTCATTACAGGCAAATTTGGAGTCTCAGTGTAATCTGAGGTGATTGCTTTCCAATACTGTCCACAAAAATCTAGACACTGTGGAGTATAAACAGGAAAGAGGCTCTCCTTCCTGTTAGTTACACGAGGCCTCAGCTCCTTTCCACAAATTCAGAAAATTCTTCCTGAGACTTGATTCTATCTACCTCAGGGAGCAGAGTTCTAAACCCTAATCAGGGCAGAAGTCCTTAAAGAGATAAACAACTCTGCATTGCTGGCTTACAATTCTGCCTCAGAGTTCCTGAGTTTTTATAAAGTTAGGGAACAATTATAACCAAAGAGCAAATTCCTGAGTTCTGTCTCAGCAGGCAGAATTTATCTTTGTGCTGGATGGCCTGATGTGATCAAAGCCACCACGTAATTATATCAGGTGAGTGGAAGTGGCCTAGGAACCCCTCTGTGCAAGGATCTGGCAGGAGTCTAGGTTTGATGTCATTAAATGATGTCATGTTTAAACCAATAAATACTCACTGCTCCCTTTGAAGATAAGTAAGACCAGAATTTTCTCCATGCTTCGGATAAGGTGAGCCTGACTCCAAATTCAGATAAAATGAACATTCATTAAACGGACTGTTAAGTCTTTTCTGAAATAGACTATGCATGTGTATGTGTGTTCTCAGTCACTCAGTTCTGACTCTTTTCAATCCCCATGGACTGTAGCCCGCCAGGCTCCTCTGTCCATGGGACTCCTCAGGCAAGAATACTGGAGTGGATTGCCATTGCTCCTCCAGGGGATCTTCCCGACCCAAGGATCGAATTTCCCCAGGTGGAGGGGGTGGAGGGGGACCACCACCTCTAGGTGGAGACCTAACAATCTGGCATGTAATATCTGCCTGCCCTGCTGGCCTCCTGGTTTCCCAGAATAGCTAACAGCTGGTCAGGATGTCTACAATTTACTTTAAAATACTCAGGCAGACACAATATAAAATAGCTGTGTGTGTGTGTCTGAAGTTAGCTTAAATTACATTCCAGGAGTAGACACCCTAATCTGGAGCACATTCGCCAAGAATTGTCAGCCAGGATCTAATCAGAAATCGCACATTCCATAGGCACCTGCTCTCCTCCAGGAGTTTAGCTCTCTTTAACTCCCAAGGGCCCCTGAGGCTTGTGCTAATTGGCATAATTAAGGGGAGAATAAAAGGTTTAGATCAAGTGTACTATATATCCTTCTACTTCTCTGTATATTCATCCTATTAATTTTTGAGAGTTTGATATTGAAACTTCCAACTAATTCCCAGGTGGAGCTGGTGGTAAAGAACCCATCTGCCAATGCAGGAGACAAAGAGATGTAGGTTCCAAGATCCCCTGGAGGAGGGCGTGGCGACCCTCTCCAGTACTCTTGCCTGGAGAATCCCATGCACAGAGAAGCCTGGCAGGCTACAGTTCATAGGGTGGCACACAACTGAAGAGACTGCACACACGCACATACTGGAACTATATGTAACCTTGTTCTGTATTTTCTAAGTCTCATGTAAATGTGTTATCATACTTTCATAAGTTAAAAAAGTAAAAATTAAAAAAAAGAGGTTTAGAGAGATTGTCCCAGGATCCCCTGGCTAATAAATGGCACAGCCAGGACCTGAAGGAAGGTCAGTCCTTCTGAATTCTATCCCAGTACCTCAAAAGGTATTCTCCATGACTGGAAGCTTCCAAAATGACAAGGCAAGTCGTATGAAGGTGTATGGATCTGAAGATCATTTGCGTGACTCTCGGGCTGATAGTTTGCACACTGTGACTCTAGAAGTCACAGTATACAACTTGGCTTCACAAGTCAAGGACCCCTTTCAAAACCACCCAGATGCCCTCAAGACCTAGTTTCAGCTCCTATCTTCTGCTCTACCTGCAGGACCCTCTGGCTAGAGTTGGGGATGCGGACCTCCTGCTCAGCCTGGGGATCTGGCCTCTGAGGCGGGTCCTCTGCTTCCTCTGATGACATCCAGAGGCAGAATTTGAAATCCCACGTCCCAGTCACGGCAGTGGACACGGCTGTGACTTCTCCCCAGCACCAGAGTTAGCAGCACAGGTGAGATGCTAGGAAAACACATCAGCGCCCTGAGGCCTGCTCAGCTTAGGTCACGGATGACTCTGTGCTCTTTCTTCCCGGACACCTGGGCCTGTGGCTGGGGGCATCAGG